GATTCCGAATCGAAAAAGGATCGCGTGCGCGATAACGACAACGAAGCGATCGCGACAGCGATCTATGAAATGACGCGTTTCAGTCGGCGATTACGAGGAAAGCATGCCTATTCGAGGGCGATCCGAGCAGATACGTTTCGATAGGAAACCAGGTCGCGATATTTCCCGATCCACGCGCAGATAAGACACGCGTTCAGCGATAATATCCGCGCGCGCGGTTTTCCCTTGGTCAGATAGCATCGGAACACGACTCGTCGCGCGTGTTTTTTTTTCCCGTGAATTCCTAGGGAACGCGAAAAATCGATGGCCCGCTAAAAGCGGTTCGATGTATCGCGGACGAATTTGATCCGTCCGGCGAGCACACATCGCGCGGCGATTAAAACGTTTCATTTGGCTAATAAACGGGACAGGTGGCCCCCGTGGACGACGTGCACGTAATAAACTGGGCTAAAGCGACGCTCCAGTTTTCCTTCGAATGAAATAGGGGAACAAAAGATCTGACAACTTTGCTGACAGTTAGAAGCGGCAGCAGCCGGCGATAATGTGGGTTATATAAATTAGGGCAAGGAGAGCGAACGACGTTATGAATAGGTTAACGATCGAAGATTCCCACGGCGAGGAAACTGGCTCGTTTCCTTTCGGGTCGGCCGATTCCGTCTTTTCCATCTATTTTTCATTCGGCGGAGTCGCACGAATGTGCCGATTAAATTTTCAAATTTCGCGTTTAAATTCATCCGCGGTATATAGCGAGTTGTCAAACGCGGGATTAAGCTTCGACTGTGCACGGTTTAACGCGTTCCAAGCTATTACTGTTAACACCATTACCTTGTATGCGTCGATCGTTAACGCCGCCAGGAATATATTCGTTTCACGAAGCACTTTTTGATCGAATAAAAAGATCGTGAATTATTCAGATGGAGGTCTACGTATGTTACGGAACAACAACAATGGCGTGTTCAGCGATCGTTAGCGGACTAGACGCGTTCGCTCTGGAAAAACAACGATCGTCCCGATCTGGACGTCAAATTCGTCGTGGGGGCGAAGAAATCGAGTGATTCAACGTTTTCCTGGGTATCGATTAGACGGTTTATTTACCTAGAAAAGACGCGTAATCGGTGCGGTGCGGCGCGGCGCGGCGCGGCGCCTATAAAAACCGCGGGCATGCGTCACCGATCCGCCTCGCTGTCGTGACGGCGAACCGTACGTCGGATCGGGCTCGTTTCACGGCACTGTTCGATGACTTTTGATATTTAATCCTGGAAGACAAGCACCGTGGCGCTTTCCCTCGCAGCGAGCCGAGGAGCGCGGCTCTGGATTACGCAACCAGGCTGCTCGATCGAGCTGAAAGCGTCGCCGCCGATCGAGCCGACACGGGAGACGAGGATCGACCGGCTCGGAAAATCGAAAATCGCCGTGGATCGAGGGTCCGCGCGCGCGATCCAAGCGATCCAACGGTTCCGCCGAGCCGCCGAGCCGGCTGAAAACGAAAGTCGCCGCGCGACTCGAGAAGCTCCGCGGCCTTGACGCCGGCGCGGCAGGCTCTCTCCTCTGGCGCGATTATGCTCGCTGCGACGCTTTTCCAGAGAGCAACGCGGCAAATAAATCGTCATCGATCGCGATACGCATTTTAGTTTCGGCCAACTTCGGCGCAGTCCTCTTCTGTTTCGATTTCCATCGACGCCAGGTAAGTGCTCTCCAAGTTTGAAAGAGTGGAACACTAGCCGCGAGAGTGATCTCGATTCGAGAGTGGCTAGATCGCGCGGAAAGGGAATGTTCACTCTGATCGAGAGTCTGCACGGATCACATTATGTAAATAAAGTACCCGGGATTTGTAAATGAAACTGTTTATTCATCAATGTTTATTCTGACATTCTCATAGTAGCCGAAGCAATACGCCCACGTTTCTCCCACTTTTCTTCAGACTTTAGGGACCTTTAAGGATCCAAAACGCTTTCCCGAAAGTGGTAAGTCAATACAGCGAAATAAGAAAAGGTCACATGGTGCCGAATCTGATGAATTCGGAGCTAGACTGACAATGCTTCTTGAATTTTTGATAAAAAAATCCGCGTACCAAGATCGACGTCTATGACGGAGTCTTTGCCGAAATAATATTGTTTATTGACCGCTTATCCGCCTGGAAGGAATTTCAAATTAACAACACGATATTCCGAGGATTGTCGGTTTATTTGCATGTCGTGCTTGTAAACTCAGTTGAGATGCGCACAGCCGGCACAGGGGAAATGTCGTCAGAATTGCAAAAATTAAGATAGATTCTTTGGCCGACAGCTTCTTCCATTGTAAAAATCGCGGAACACCTTTGAGTCGGCTAGAACCCGGCTGATGTAAGCAGCTGATGTAAACACAATGGTGTTGATGAATCGCGGTCATATTCAGCGTTACAATCGAATACAGTGGTGCCCGCTTGCATACAAAGAATTGAAGCAATACGTGCACCGTGGGACTTCGGAACGCGAAATTCCGGGTACATATTTTCCATAATGTATAGCCCTGTCGCAGAGCGGCTTCACTCTTTCAGATTTAGAGAGTACGAACTAAGTTCGGCGCCGTTCGTGTGTATTATACATTATGAATAGAGAAACGAAGAACAGCAAAGTTAAGAAGGCAGAAGGAAGTTACTCACTCGTGTTATCTTGATCTGACGTCGAAGGGATTAGTCTGACGCTTCCCAAGAACTGTTCGAGGTGGAATCGCGTATCTTCCGCTAGATTGTTGCGCGAAACTGTCGCCAACGAAGAGACCCGACCGACAGTCGAAGACAGCGAAGCTGCCAGAAGCGTATCGCGAATCGTTTGGTCGCGCAGGAATCTAGCGGAAACGCGGGACCGGTCGGCGTCTCCGCTGAAAGCAAGCTGCGTGGTCGCGTGACCTTCGGGGACGCGTTCGCGTCACCCTTGAACGTGAACCACGGGTCAGCAGAAGTACAGTTGCACGCTTAACCGACACATGCACTTATCTTCTATGGTACTTGAGCGCTGAAAGGCGGGAGCTGCTGTAAGTGCATGCAAACCGAGCTGGAAATAACTCCGGTTCGTTGGTGCCTACGTTCGCGTCGTGTCCCGTCGCAAGGACGGAATCGCGTCGGTTCGAGGGCCGATCTTCGCGACTAATTAAAGCGTTCTTTCTCGTCCTTGCCGATCGGCAAAGTTCGTTCGCGAATCGATCGTCTGGCGTCCCGTGTCGCGACGGAATTTCAATCTCGCCTCGTCATCTCTTGGGAGAGACGAGACCGGCCGCCGATTCGCTGGCGTCGCGCGACCGGAACTTCCTCCAGGATAGGCATGGGCAATCCTCCGAAATAAAAGCTCCCACAGAAAAACATCCCTACGTTTCGTTCGATATCTCCAGGTGAGTAGGTGTAGGTACCTTGGGATTTCCGGATAGAGGCCCCAAGGGAGCGTGGTTACAGTTCTATTTGCCCCGATTGGGCGTGGTTTCGTTGCTAACTCTGTGTTCAGTGCCCCGAAGACAAGTGGTTTGTAGCTCTGTTCGTTTCAACGTATAATATTTGTTTCAAATACCCCGAGCAAACGAGATTTGTTGGCATTTCTATGTATTATGTCTCAACAGGCGTGGTTTCGCTTCTGTTTCTGTACAAAGTGCCGCGAGGGGCGTGGCTACGGTTCTATTTGCCCGGACTAGGCGTGGTTTCGTTGCTAACTTTGTGTAGAGTGCCCCGAAGATATACGGTTATAGCCCCCGGTTTGTTTCAACCGCACTAAGCGAATAAATATCGCTGGTTACTTTTACGTACAGTATTTTCGGGGGGCGTGGTTTCGTTTCTGTCACTGCACGAAATGCCGCAAAGCGGCGTGGTTCTGTTGTTTACTTTGTATCGTATGCCCGAAGTGGCGTGGCTACAGTACTGTTTAGTTAGAGTGCCAGAGCGGCTGTGGATTTGTTTCTTCGGTAATACTGTGTAGACTGTTCCGAGGGGCGTGGTCTCGTTGCCACGCAGGGCCACCTCTGCCCATGCCTGTTCCAGGAAGAGACGAGATCTCGTTACACCGACGTGACTCGATGAAACATCGCCTAAGATGCCGATAGATACTACGGTCGTCGATAAAAAAGGGAAAAAAATTGGTCCGCCTCCGATCGTTCCCTCTTTTTACGAGCTACCCCCGGTCTACCCTCCACCCCTTGCTCTCCGGAACATCGTTATTCCTCGATCCCTCGCCGAGAAAAAGAGGGACAAATACCCTACGCGATTGGGGATCCTAAAGCCGGATTCATGCACTCGGCATTCCATCAGACAATTGTTTCATCGCTTTACTGTGGTTTCAGCGGTAGATTGTTAATGACGTCGACAGATTGGTCGGCGAATGTTCGAAGATTGCCGAACGCGTGATCCGGTTCAACCCTTGGACCACCGAAGGGGCATACTTGCCCCATGAACCTTATTAAAATGTGTCTCAATATTAAATTCTACAAAAATCGTCTCCGCAAAAAATTGTACGCTCAGTATCTCAAGAAAGTAGCAAACACTGTGTAAGCTATATCTGAACTAGGATTTTTCTAGACTAGATTTCTTCTAGACTATGCTCGTTCTAGAACCATGTTACATGATCTTACAGTTTCTTCAGCATGCTACTGTCTGCTACCCCTTCCAGCAAATCAATTACCACTCTACCTGAAATCGATCGCTAGCCGATCACCAAATGGAAAAAACTCGGCAGTCGTTAGGAGAACAAACGGCGGCCCAAGGGTTGTGAACGAGGCCAGGGGGCTGCGCGGTCGACGCCATCTCGCGATCGCGCCCCGAAACGGGGCCGGCAAATAAATCCCGTTTGGCCATGCATATACGGATCGTCTATCTCGCGAAACCGAACACCGAAAAACAGAATTGGAAACGCGCGAGCAGAAAAATCGTTGTAGAAGCAACCGGATCGGTTGCAGCGGCAGTTGCATTAAGGGGTGTTTTTGGCGGTGGGGTGGGGTGGGGGGTGGGCGGATGCATGCTATTAGTAATAGTGAAGACGTACCCTGTACCAAGTGGCCACCTGCGAGGCGCTCGAAAGGGGTGGAGAAGCGGTGGTTTATCCGCGACGCAACACACACACACACACCCGGTGGTGGAGGGTGAATGTCGGGCCCGAGGTATAGTTTGGTATAGTTTTGTTCGTTCGGTATTGTCGGTCGAATCGCGCGTTGCGTGTCACGCAGTACGGGTGTTGCGCGTTCGAAGAGACGGGCCCCAACAAGACGATAGCACACAGGTGACAGTGGTGGTTGGTGGTGGTTCGGTGGTTGGTGATGGTGGTGGTTGGTGGTGGTTCGGTGGTGGCGGGTGTAGTGTATTCGCACGCCCCGTGCAAGTGAGGCAAAAGCAAAAACAACAACAACAACAACAACACCACAGGTCAGAAGATAAATTATACACGATTAATAGTTAGAGTCTGGCGCCGGCGCTGCCAGCTGCCGGCTCTACGCGAGTATGCTAGTTCTTTATATCTAATGGATGCGCGCACACCTGTACGACCTGCCTCGGAGATCGTGGATCCACGCCGTGGAACGGGCTGACTCCTCGTGAAAAACTTCGGCTGACTCCGACGGGACTTCGTTCTCGAGAAAACGTTTAAAATTCTTTGCGATAAGTTCTCGTCGATTGTTCGCGCTACTTTCCAGAACGATGAAGTAAAAACGCGAATGCTCGAACCGCTCGATGCAAAGCGCAACGATCGGTAGCTTTCTTCGAATTCGATTTTCTCGAGAACGAAGCCTTGCACGAAACATTTTCAACGTATGCCTTCACAAGGGACCACCGACGTTTCAGAATTGTACTTCGCTGGTATCAGCGTCGACACAAAAGGTCTTCCCAGCGTCGAGGTTTCTAGGAGATCAAAGCCACGATCGCTGAGACGCCCGTACATCTGCTCGTGTAAATACTCTCGGATGAATGATGAAGTAGTGTGCGTTTTCAGTGTCAGTGCGTGTGTGATCTTGCCGCGGGTCTAGAGCCTCGGAACTCGTTCGATGACTCTGGAAACAGTTCCCCTCGCCAGCCTCGCTTTTCGCTTGTATTTTGCTTTTCGTCAACGCGAACAGTCCTCGACGATTAAGGGAGCATCCGATCATCGATAAAGGCGAAAGTCTGGCCAGGTGGAACGTGTCTGCGAGCACGTCCGCGCATCTCGCGGGACCACAAGGCTCGTCATCGAACTCGTTCCGAGAACAAGATCTACTGCAGGGTCGGTTCTCAAGCGGATAACTGAACACGGGAGGTGTGCCCAGAGGAGGGAACAACGGGCTCGTTACGAGCGACCCGAATCGCGCTCGGAACGAGTACTCCGTTTCCGACAGGAAGACTCGCACACAAGGTCCTACCGATTCGCCAATTCTCATTTTTTTCCCCCTTCGATTCGATCAATTTTTCCGCGGCCGTCAATTTTGCTCGGCTCGAATCGCGAAACCCGCGCCGAGAGGCTTTGACGCGCGCCCAGCCCGGGTGAGTCTCAAAGTCTCGTTAGAGGGGTTGTTCGAGGGTTGTTGCGGGCCTTCGGCTCTCGTCGCATGATTCGCGATACATCGGCGATGGGAGAAAGGGGGGGTGACACGGGGGAGGGTGATGTCAGTGCGCGACGATACCGCCGAGATACGAAGCAGAAGCCACACACACACATCGGTATCTTCTAGGTTCTAGTCTGGCTAGGGATATACTGGCGCAGGTGTACGTGTCTGTTCTTGTCAGTGGCGGGTGCGACTAGTATGTGGGCTGCTGTGCGATCGCGAAACACAGCGCCTGGAGCCTCTGCTGTCACACAGTGTTCCGAAGCTAGACGCTAACTATAGTTTCACGTGTCGAAACGTCTGCCGTAGACTCGGTTTACTCTTACGGTTACTCGGCCGTTTTTTATGGAATACAAATTGCGCGTTCGTCATTCCACAGATTTTGACATATACGCGTTCTCTGTCGGCAACTTCGTGTTCGGCCTTTGTCCAACCAGCTTGCGCTCGAAACACTGTGTCGCCGCGTCTTCTGCAGCCGAACAGGACCTTCGATTCTGCCGCTCCTTTCGTAAACCACTGTGTCTATGTGCACACTCCTGGATCATAAGTCACCGCACGCCCGACTGTTTTAATTCTACAGAAGCCGGGCAAGCGATGCTCGTAAAAGGTAATCGATTTTCCACGTTTTATCATCGACCATACACTGCGATAGATTGCAAATCTCTTTGTACGATTTCCAAGTTCGATGAGTAATTTGATCGATATGAAGAGGAAAGATACGTTTGTAAAGACTGTTTGCGATCAAATTGAACGTTTTGCGAAAGGTACGATGTGCGTTTCGGGATTCATTTTAGCCGCGGTCATCGCATGAGAAGCACCGGCATTATAAGGGCATTAGAGATAATGCTAGAAACGATATTAGTTGGCGGCGGTATCGCCATTGTTCCCGCAATCAAAGAACAGAAATTTTAATTAACGTCGGAGAGCCGGGGGCTGAACCTTTCGAAAGGGTTTCACAGTTTCATTTTGTTGCGGCGTTGCGAGTGTCCGGTGACTTATGGCCGGGAGTGTATGCTCGTCTGGCTAAAGAGAGCAAAAGCGCAGCGCGCACGGTAGCGTTCTTCGCGGGTTAAAGAGAGACGAAAAGAGAAAGAGAGAGAAAGAGAGGTAGAGAAAGAGCGGCAGAGATCTCTTAATCCTGCGCGGTTCGTGACTTTCCGCGGGCTCCAGCCTGCGACCGCCGATGAAAAAAGAGAACGACGAGAGAGGAGAGGAGAGCCGCGAAGCCCGATCTGGCCTCGCCTCCGGTGCTCTTTCTTTCTCTCTCTCTCCCTCCCTCTCTCTCTCTTTCTTCTCCGTTCGCTGCGCCTACAAGCCGAGAGCAACTTCTCTGCAATTTCGCGAAATCAGCATACAAAGTGGTAAGCCGGAGAGTCGTACGCTCCGTATGCTTCGTACACGCTTCGTATGCAGTTTTGCGAAAGCTCGAGGGACGCGAGTCCTTGAGAGAACTCATGACCGATTATCCGTCGCGAATCGAGCCTGCGATCGGGATCACCGCAGTTTCACGTGTAACGTATGGTTATCGCGGGATACAAGGACGCGATCATTTCCTCGAAGTGCTATTCTTCGCGGGCGACTTCGCTTTTGATCGCCGAGGATCGGTCTTCGTCACGATCGGCCACGAGGTGGGCCGTTTCCCTGCCGTTTCGTCACCGATGGCTTTATCTCCTTTGAAAACGGAATCTCGCGTGATCTTTCGAACATTTCTCAGATTACAATTTCCATCCCCTGATCCCGAGGTTCGACCGAAATTGTTTAATTTAACACGTTGTCAACTCCAAACATTGCCACAACATCAAAGTCGTTCAATTAACGAAACCAATTACTGAAACTTAACCCTTTGCCCTCGAGTGGCGACTCCGAGACGCCATTAAAAATTGTTGTCACGTTTCAAAATAATTTTATTAATCAAATTTGTTTGTATTTAATGAGCTGTTGAAAGTCTAAATATTGCATGGGTCGCTCATGGGTCATTCGATTTCATATGCATAAAATGCATTAGGTCATATAAAATGGAAAAAACGTGGATGGAAAAAGCTATTTTAAATCTTGCGTTAAATTCGGCTTCAAGTGCAAAGAGTTAAAGTTAAATTTTATCATGGAAAGTGGGAGTTCGACCTTTTTTGCATTCTAAAAAGGCTAGCAACGTCCAGTTCGCTCGATATACACTCAATTCTGTTTTTATACGATAGATACGTTGCAGAAATAACGGTGTAAAAAAAGACATCGTGTACGTATATATAGGAAAACACTAGATTGGTTTCATATCCTTAAAATCTGTATGAAATAGCTAAAATAAAAGGATTCATACAAAAATACTTTATGAAGAGTCTTTTATGAAAAACCAAATTGGATTTGTATGCGCATTCATGCACAGTTTACTTTATAAAAAACAACCGATAAAGCAATTCTCAAAGTGAAAATAACATATGTTAATTAAAAGTGATCACAAATTCAGGAATTAAACATTGAAAAACAGCGACAATGGTGAAAACAATATAACTTTATTCGCGGTCATCGTTGGATATCATACGCGTAATGTTGCTTCAAAATCACTATCATCACCCGAAATATTTTGAACCTCGTTACATATCTAAAAAGTTACAGTTAACAAAAATAATTGTCTTTAAAATTGAAATCAAATAACTTTACAAAAACGAACGAAATCGGGCGAAGTAGGAAACTACATTTATTTTTCTAGACGTGTAAAATTAAAACCGTGTAAGAACAGAATTGGGTGTATCGGTATAAAAATGAATATCAAAATCCGGTTGAAAATTAGTGTCACATGTGAGTGACGCGGCACTTAACGCGTTAACAAATTATTCGTCTGTACGTATGTGATCCATTTGTTTCAGGAACAAACAGCAACGAGGGCACAGAGATATAAGTTCTAAAAGAAAAAAGCGAAACGAAGAAAAGAATTTACGAATTCCCGGACATTTTCTAGGGTTCGAAAACGGCGGGAAGATTTTGGCCGACCAGGGAAGCGGCGGACGAGGAGCGCTTAGCTCGGCGACCGGAGCGATTAGGCTATCGCGGCGGAACAATCGCAGAGTAGTTGCACAAGGTTGTCGAACCGCGGCGACTCATCCAGCCTGTCGTCCTCAAGGACGTTCGCTAATGGAATTCTCGCGAAGAAATGAGTCGGAAGTGAGTCGACGATAGCGTGAAGAGACGGGGGTCTTACCTTGGGCAAGGATGCCAGGCATTGCTGCTTCACGTCCCAGACGAGCTGATCCTTGGGGAACTGGAGACACTTGCTGACGTAAAGCTCCGGGACGTGCACCCTAGCCAGGAGGACGCCCTCCTCGACCGGGCCGGCCTCCGCAGTTGCAGCCGCGACTGCAGCCGCCGCCGCATCTTGATTCTGCTGACCTTGAGGGTGGCCTTGGGCCTGGCCGGCTTGCGGGCTCGTCGCCTGGCTCGGAGTTGTCTGCCCCGTGCTGGCTGGCGACGAATTTTGCTGCTGCTGCTGCTGGTGCTGTTGTTGCTGCTGCTGCTGCGACTGCGATTGCTGTTGCTGCTGCTGTAGCTGCGGCTGCTGCTGTTGCTGTGGCTGCTGTTGTTGCTTCGGCCCCGCCTCCATTGCGGGGACCTCGCGCTTCTCGGGGATTCCACCTTCACTGGCTCACATCTGAAACCGAAAATGTGTGAGCTTTGATTAGCTTCTCTTTCGTTGCTTTTCTTTTTAAATACTTCTTGGTAACTTCATGTCGCAGCGCTCGTTGCGATAAGGTGGTTTATTTTTGGCATTCTTTTTTGATAACGAAATGATTTAACGCTTCGACGATCGCGCCAAAAGCTTCAAAAATTTCGTCAATGTAAGGTGTTTCATTCAATTAACTTAAAATTGTAAGGCAATCACTTTTTCACCATTCTCACCTCTTTTGAATCTTAATCGAATTAAGAAATTGTAATGGATTAGCGTAAAAATTGATTTTTGAGTATTAAAGTATAAATAATTCTGTCCCCCACGGATGGGTGACGCGACAGTCGCGCTTTAGCGGCCGCGAGTCTGGGTGACGATTTCGGGAGTGGATTGGTGCGGAAAAGGGAAAATCTCGCGTTGCAAACGTACTCGTTACAAATATATTCTGTTAGTTGTTACACAGTTTTCTTCAGCATATCCCGACAGCCTTAGTTTACTGCATATGAAAAACGTTACATATAACAAACGCTTGAAGCTAAATTATGCAAACTAAAAGTGTTGGCATATGGTCACGCTAGGTTTAACCCTTTGAACTCGAAATCACTTTAACTCAGAATTCAAAATAGTTTTTCTGACATACAGTATTTCCATTTTATACGATTTAGTATATTTCATGAAATTGAGTCTTGAGACTCGCGCATAACAGTTACACTTTTATTAGCTTTTTATAATATAAGCGTGATACAACAATTTTTAATGACGCGTTGGAGTGCGAAGAGTTAATTGGTAAGAACGACGTAAATCGCGATACTCTTCACATCAGAAATATTTCGAAATACCCAATTAACAGGTTAATATCCGGCATTTCGACGGCCGAGAGATCAAGTTTGCGACCCACGGACCGCATTTGTGCGAACCCGAGGTGGCAATAATCGTTGCTGCTCGCCGCTATCAGTGCTCGGACGCGTTTTCCTGTGTTTTCTTTTTTTATTCGACGATATTAATCGAGAGGATCGCAACGTTACGGCAGCGCGGAGACTCCTCCAGCGGATATCTGAGTGGGAATCTTAAGGAACGACGCCTCGGAGGACACCAGACGACGCCGGGTGAGATGAAGAAATTAAAACAGCCCGGCACTCGCAGTTTATAACCACGGCGCGGCGGGTAACGGTAAGGGAAGGACGAGATTACCGCAATGGAAATAAAGAAATTGCGCCGAGACGCCGCGCCATGTCAATTTTTTAACGCTCGTAAAAGCCTTTTATACTCTGTGGCCTCGCCTCACCTCGCGTCGCCTCGCCTCGCCTCACCGCGTCTCCACGTATTTTTCACTCGAGCTGTCTCCGTGCAATCCTGCTCTTCACACGATGCGTTCCGACGATCTAATTAAACCGAAGTAGCTAATGCAAAATGAATTTCAGGGAAGCCCGTGTCGGAGGGCGGGCATTCGTCGAACCTGGCCAGGTGGAAATTCTTGGTAAATATGGTAATGACTGTGTCGCATTGGTAGCAAGCTCGGTAGTTTTCTTTGAAATAACAACCTCAAAAGGTGTAATTAAAAGTGCTCCTTCGCTTTTATTTTGGATCCTGCTCTAACATAGCGTAATTCAGTTATGTCTGAATGTGTAGAACATTCCTAACTCATTTAGAACAGTTGTGGAACGCCACGTAAAGCAAGTATTGCTGCAGAAGTGAATGTCCACTCTGGCTTGACAATGGAAAGAGTTAAACTATGTCACCATAATTGCTACAGAAAAATTTCTGGAAAAACCTCAACCATTGTTTCATTACGTTTCACTAAAAGCAGTGTACCTCGTTCGTGAAATACTAAAACAATTTAGCAAAAGTGTTACGGATATCCTGATTAATATGCTATGAACAATAAATAATGAAGACGACAATGGAGGCCGGCAAAAAGTTTTGCACGACGTATGAAGATGACCGAATCCTTCCACAGGTTAGTATTGTTTCTTATTCACTGATTAATAAGAATCGAACATATTAGTGCTTATACCGATATGATCGTAATGTATGACGAGTTTTGCCATTAGATGCGCCTTTTCCATCGATGACCAAATTGTCCACGTTAAATATAAGAATAATTATAATACTACGGACGCTCGGTTTGTTCGAATACTTTTCGCGAATGATTGTAGATACCGTTCACATTAGATTTCGACTTGGAGATCTGTTTTTCAAAGTGGACTGCGTGTGAAACACCGCGCAGATCGGAGTGCAGCACAAAAATACGTCGATAAGAAAAAAAGTTTGTGAAACACAGCGGCCCGAGATTCCCATCACGTTTCGTATAGGAGATTACGTTTCCCCGGTTTCGTAAGACGTCTCGTAAGTATCCTGCAAGAATGTTTCGTTCGCAGCCGGTGGAGAAAATGGCAACGTTCCAACAATCTGCTTTCGGCGCGAAGCGGCGGAAAGCTCGTTCGACACACGAGTGCATTATGATCCGATCAGAACCGGAATCGTTGCGATTCCTAGCGACTTGAAACTACTCGAAGCGATCCGAAGCAACTTGAAACGACTTGAAGCGATTTTAAGCGATCTGAAGCAACTTGAAACGATTTTAAGCGTTTTGAAGAAACTTGAAGCAACTTGGATTGATTTTAAGCGTTCTGAAGCGATTTGAAGCGACTTGAACCGATTTGAAGCGATTTGAAGCAACTTGAAACGACTTGAAGCGATTTTAAGCGATCTGAAGCAATTTGAAACGATTTTAAGCGTTCTGAAGCAACTTGACGCAACTTGAATTGATTTGAAGCGATTTGAAGCGCTTTGAAGGGACCTGAATCGACTTGAAATGATCTGAAGCGATTTGAAATGACCTGAATCGACTTGAAGCGATTTGAAGCGATTTGGAGCGATCTTAAGCGACTTGGAGTGACTTGAAGCGATTTGAAGCGATTTGAAGCAACTTGAAGCGTCTTGGAGCGACTTGAAGCGATTTGAAGCGATTTGAAGCAACTTCAAGCGTCTTGGAGCGACTTGAAGCGATTTGGAGCGACTTGAAGCGATCTGTCGAAGCGGCAGGATACACGCGTCGAATCGATGACGCAGTCGCGCGCGTTTTCGCGACTGCTATGCACTTCTCTCCCGAGCGATGGAACGCCGCGGCACGGCGTCTGCAACTCGTAATGCAATACGCTGTTTTACAATTCGGCCTCCAACCTCGCGGCAAGGGTTAACCATCGGTCAGCGATAAGTTACGTCCTAACGATCGGCGCAACGCTTTCGCTCGAAACATTCGAGCGGATATAAACGTCGCGCCGCGAGAACAGACGTACATATGCGTGTGATCGATCTTTCAGGGTGGCGGACCATTCGACACGCAGCTGCACCGTATCGATCCGCTGATTCCCCGCACAATTATGTAACAAGCGCGATAATCGCCGCGACAAACATACGCGCGATTCCCGTGTTTGTCTCGCGACCGATGCTGAACGCAGCCGAGCATTTCCTCACTACGTGTCGCATCGCCGAGATAATAGCCTCGCATGGGAAATGCTACGATGAATCCGGCTGTGAATTATTATGCGTCTAGTATAGCGATTTTCGTCCCCTAAAGGTGTGATTAGAATCTATACTTCGGACGTGCATCGTGGATAATTGAAGTGAAGCTCACAGTAAAGAATGCAAAGATTCTTTCTATTTGCATTTCATAAAAAGTGTTCAGTTTTCAATTTTCGCATTCGCTGTGAACGAATCATTTGCGAAGCACATACAAAATGTAAAATCTGAATTCGGCTTAATTTTCCTTGGAATATAATAAAACTTCTGGCAGAGGAATAAATTTTGTTTCAAGGTTAGTCAACAGGAAATGTTGAATCTTTTAATTCAATTTAATTGAATTTAATTTATTTGGCAGAAAAGCCCTTTATATTTTTCAAAAAATATCAACTTAATGATAATAATAGCAATAATATTTATTATTATTTTGTTTATACGTGGAAGTTTCTTTTTCTATTTTCGATATTCTTTTGTTCACATCTACACGGAGAAAACGATGGATAAATGACGAAATACTTCGAACTTCTTCATTCAGTTCTCAGAAATCCATGTTTTAATGGAAATCCACAGACTACAGTTGTAAAATAAATATTTCACTCGAAATGGAAATATTTTCGCGTTCAGTATTAATGATCGAAGCACGGAGGATATAATTCCAGCATCAGGGAATACTTGGACACCGCTTATCATACAAGTTGCCGGTTTAAAACGAAAGAAAGGTTCGTCTCGTGTAATTCGATCCGCTGTACAAACGCGACGCCAAGCGACGAAACTCGCTCGGCCAGTCGATTGATGAAATTGGAATTGATGGAATTGATGGAAGCGACCCTGTCGAGGTATCGCCGCTGAAACGCGCAATAAATGCCCGTGCGATAAAACCAGCTTTGCGCGGAACGGGCTTCGCAGATGACAAAAGTGTCGAGGAATAGCGCAAGCTGACGCTCGGTCGCATCGCAAACAGATGGAGATGCACGCTGCCGCTCGAAAATATTTGATCGATTGTTTGCTCGACATTGGGTTTGATTTTTCAGTGGAAGAGCCGACGATGTAGCTCTTGAAATAGTTTTCTTAATAAACGGCCGGAGACAATGGACACTGAAGTGGTTGCGCCTCGAGTAATCAAACGTTCTCGAGTGGCGGAGTAAATTCTTCGTTTGTTTTTCCTTCCATGATAAATATTGGACCAGATGATTGTGACTTATAAATTTGTTTAGGAGTAATAGAATTTAAATTTCATTTAGGATTGTGATCTGATCTTAATTAAGGATCGATAGAGTCTACAGAACTCGCACAATCTGGACCACAATTTAACATTCACCTGCAAGCTAGATTTCGTCAAAGACTCAATCGTCATACAGACTTTATTAAAAATCGACGGAGTTAATGTGCAACCTAGGACCCCAACTTGGGCATGATCTAAGACACGTAGAATCCTGACCTAATTAGACCCGCAATCTAGACTG